TAATCAAGGCACTTCTCTTCCAGAGAACAGCAAATCCTTCTAAAACAGCACTATGTATGGAAAAATAATATGAGCTACATATGTAATTTGAAATTTCCTGGTGATCATATTTCCAAAATAAAAACAAGCATGAAAGAAATGTTACTAACATATTCAACTTAGTATATTCAAAAGATTGTCATTTCAGTATGTAATCAATATAAATGTTATTACTGTGATACTTAATTTTTTGTGTGGCCTTTAAAATTCAGTGTTTATTTTATACTTACAGCACACCCGAATCAGGACTAGCCACATTTTAAGTGCTCAGTGACCATGTATGGCAAAATGGATGCTGTATGAGGTAGCTCAGTCCTAGGATGCTCTCATCAGATTTTCCTATCCTCTCACCAATGCTGTCTATACCTCTTCAATATAAGCCAGTTCTCTCTTAGTACAGTCCTAAGACTAGTATTTTTGACTGTTGGGGAATTGGTGGCTCTTCCCATGCAAATAAGATATCTCTGGCTTTAACAGTCACTTCCTTGTTTATAGTTTACACTCAGGGTATTTGTTCCTGTAATCACACACACAGAATTATGTGTAATTGTTATGTTGTATAAAATACATTCAACATAAAATTTACCATTTTAACCGATTTGAGAGTACATTTTGGCGCCATTAAGATATTCATGATGTAGTGCAACCATCACCACCCATCCATCCCTGAAACTTTTTCATCCCCAACTGAAACGCTGTACCCGTTAAGTTTTTACTCCCATTCTCCCTTCCCTCAGCCTCTGGCAACCACTGTTCAACTTCCTGTTCCTATGAATTTGACTACTCCTGATATCCCACATATATGGAATCATAAAATATTTGTCCTTTTATGCCTAGCTTATTTCACTTAGCCTTAGGTCCTCAGGGTTCATCCATGCTTGTGCCAGAATTTCCTTCCCTTTAAGGGTCAAACAATATTTCATTGTATGTATATATGTACCACATTTTGCTTATCTGTTCATTGGTTGATAGAGATCTTGGTTGCTTTCACCTTTTAGCTTTGAACACGGGTATGCAAATATCTGTTTACATCCCTGCTTTCATTCCTCTTGGGTATGCACCAACAGTATAATTTCTGGATCATATGGCAATTTTACGCTTGATTTTTTGAGGAAGTCATCATATTACTTTTCACAGTGGCTGTCCATTTTTAAATTCCCACCAGAGATATACAGTGATTCCAGTTTCTCCACATACTTGCCAACACTTGTCGTTTAATTATTTATTTCTATAATAGGCATCCTGAATTTGTTTTCATTACCACTTTTGGATGACCTTAGGAATATGTTGTAGAGGTGAATCCAACTTGGATCTAGATAATTAATATATGGAGAGAACTTAAACATTCTCTGGAATAAGGCGATCACTGGTACCACTTATTTGATGAACTGTTCTTCTGCTTTTATTAGGAGCCTTTGACTAGGCCCTGGAGTCCTGTGCCCCCATCTGTCTCTGCCGCTACTCTCCCGCTGACTTCAGGGCAGTCGCTTAGTTTCTTTTATATTTAAAAAATGGCAATAAAAATTTCTTACCTACTTTATTCACCGAGTTACTCTAATTATCAAATGAGTTTATAATGGCTTTGAACTTCCATTTGGGCAGGTTTTGTCATTCCTCAACAGGATCCAGGAAAATCTCCACAGTCAGATGCCAGCCTGGGTTCTGTACTAGGATCTTGTCGCTCTGATCATTCAGTGCCTGAGAAGAAGAAGTCCAAGACCCAGTTAGGGTTAAATAAATGTAAAATCCTGTCTGCTGGTACAATTCATTAAAAGACAATTTGCCTATAAGAATAAAAAATAAAATGACTTTGAACACTCTGAAGTAAGAGCCTTTTTGGAGGGATGAAAGGTTTGTTTAAGACATTATTGTTGTGGTTATCATACACATCACAGTGATTTGGGTTTACACTTTGGACTTAACAGTACACCATATAGAACACTTACGCCTTCTGTTTTCTGCTTGTATTTTGTGTCAATGTTTTATATGTGCCATTCTGAATAGCATAGTTACAGAGCGTTAATGCAACTATCAAAGGAATTTATATTACTTGAAGGAAGTGTTTTGTCCTTCCTTTCTTTGCTTTCTAATTGGATCATGCTTTTTAAATTACATTTTAACTCTAAAATTTGATTGAGATTCACAGCCCTTGATTGTTCAGCTTCTCAAGTTAGATGGTGTTACTGACATCCCAGAGCCTGTAAGTACCAATGAAAATTAAAGCCCAAGACATCAAATTGAATCCATTGATCTTATTACACTTAATTTTCCGGCTAAGGTAGATAAGCTAGTTTTTTTTTTCCAAAACCCAGAATTTTATTACTCCATTTAATGAAATATTAGAAGATTAGTGATTGGATGGTCCCAGAAGAAGGGCAAAGGGCACACTTTGCTCTGACACTAGTGGCTTTTGTTCTTTTTCAAAGACTGAAAATTTTTTAGATGCCAATTTGGAAAACTCTCTGGGGGCTTGATATTAGGATGGCCAGTAAGGTTAAGTTATTAGGAAAATTATCTGCAATGACAATTATAATGGCAACATTGTGTGTTATCATCACTTAAGTATTTTATGTGTAAGTGAGAAACAGCAAAAAAGAGATAAAAGTTAAAAGCAAATGTCTTGGGTAGAATCCACAACATAAGGAAACTCGAAAAGAAATTGCAACAATAAGAAATTCAGATACAAAAATAATAAAATATGTTATTTAATGGAAATTAAAAATAAATAGTCTTCAAGTACCTCTAAGTTAAAGTTTAAGAAATTTGCAGGTCAAAATCTATTGCATTTTTTTAAGGTTTTTTTTTTTTCTTTTTTTTCATTCTTTGAGACTGATTTAGCAGTCCATAGTCAGGTCTGAAGATGTATGGGTTTTCACAGTCAATTAGGTGGTGGAGTAGGGAAAAACTGCTTTATGGCATCATATAAATAGCTTTCCAATGGAATCACTTCATTACATCTTCTGAGTTCCCCTGTGCACTAACCAGTTATAAATAAATGGCTGGCTAGATTTTGTACATATAAATTTATTCTTTAATTTGGGAGATTTTAGACTCTTTGCCCATAACAGAAATACAGGTGAGAGACATTAGACTTGAGGAACTTCAAGATTTCAATAGGGTTTTACATTAGGATCTTCTGTCTCTTGTAAAAGAAAGGCAAAAACTTGAATGACCTACTGGCATCATCTGAAAATTACAGGATCAATTTTTCTGAACTAGTTTCCTCTTTACACTTTGTTAGTTAGACCAAAGGCAGTTAGTCCTTTCGGGATATTGGAGGGGCCACTCAATGCAAGAATTGAACTATTTAAAAAATCTCATTTAAAAATATGTATGTATGATAATTGTGCATGCAATACTTAACAAACATGCTTTTATATATATTTTGTATGAGCCGCAGTGTGGTTTGGGTTTTGCCAGCATCAGCATCTCATTAAAAAAAAAGGCACTTATTAAAAGTGTAGAATCTCAAGCCCACTATAGACCTTCTGAATCAGAATCTGCATTTTAACAATGTCTCTAGGTGACAGAAATGCACATTAACATTTAAGAAGCTCTACTACTGAGACGTGGGAGAGACCTATTTCCTCATCACTGAACTAGTCTGAGGAGAAGCTTACTTGTATCTTAACTCTCTTAATCCAGTTTTGGGTTTAGAATATACCTTCAGCCAAAACAGTTGATCACACAGTGTTCTTGAAATCTTTTATTCAAAATTCTCGTAAAGAGATCAGCTCCTTCATTTTTCTTATACATCTTTGGATGCTTACTGTATGCCAGACATTTACTCCTCATGAAAATGCTGTTTTTCAATTATGAAAGCGTATCCAATTTGACCGAGCTAGAAAGTGGCTGGGTCAGGATGTGGACCCAGGCAGCGTGGCTCCAAATTGATGTTCTTAACCACCATACGACGTCTATTCAGTCATAGCCATGCTTGGGTCTCCAGCACCAGGGCAAAGCCCAAAAGAGGAAACAATTTGATTGGAAATAGCATTTCAGATTGCAAAGGCATCGTACTGTTGGTTCAATAGATGGAGGTACATAACTGTCCCTAAGTCAAGGGTGAAAATACATGCTGATATTTAAGTAAATATTTCGTATGCTCATATAGTCACATTTGTCTCCCAACAGGAAAATGAATCTGTTTTAATGTACTCTATATGCTAATAGATCCTATCTTACAAGAATAACTATGAATTGAAAATCATTGCTCTTTCTATGCAGTAATCTAGCAAGAGCCGCCATAATTCACAGATGACTGAGCTTTAGAGCCAGACAAAACAACAGGAAGAAAAAGAACTGTTTATATAGATGTGAACTGAAATCTCACGGTTGCATAATCACATTTCCTATTGATGAATAACTAAGAAGCCACAGAGAATGTTACTACCTTTGGTGAAGGAAATTTGGAGAAATTGAGGAAACTGCATCTTCTCTGCCCTCCTTCCCATGATCATTTCTTATGTAGGATACCCTGAAAGTTGACAGTAAATATTTGTCAATTTGATGCAACATGTCATATTCCTTATAGCAGGGTAAATATTAGAATCATGTCAATAAGGATTTTTTTCCTACCCAAACTAGACTGCGGGCTGAAGACTGAAAAACATAGTATCTCTTTCTGTCCTATAAATGTTATCCTCCCAGTGTCTTCTCTAACTCTAGATGAAATCCTGCTCTGTAGGTTAGTAGACAGTAAAGACTTAAGCCTTATCTATAACGGAACAGAAACCATTCATATATCTACAGTTCAAGAAGACTTAAAAGGTTGTGACTGCCAGAACTGGAAGAGAATGATGTGTGTCCATTAAATATTTTAAGTTAAAAGTCGTTTTTACGGTGGGAAGAAAAGCTAGTGATGAGATGGAAAATACTATAAAATCAAATTTGAGATGTTTATTGAGGCCAAATTGATGTCCGTTATTGTAATAAGTAATTGATGTGGTTTTCCCTTCCAGTGTGTATGTACAGAGAGCCATCACTACATGAAATTGGAGAAAAACAAGGGCGTTCGAGGAAAAGTTCTGGAACACCAACCATGAATGGAGGCAAAGTTGTGAATCAAGATTCAACATAGCTGAGAACTCTTCCCTTCGACCCTCTCTCATTCCTTCCCTTTCTCCCTCTGCCCTTTACCCATTTCCTTCCAATAAATCCACCCAAGGAGAAGAAAATAAAATGGCAACCCAGGACCTAGTGGCTAAGATTCTGCACTCAAAATCTTCCTTTGTGTAGGACCAGAAAATTGAACCAAAGCTTGCCTGTTGCAATGTGGTAGAAAATGCACATGCACAAAGATTAGCACACATAAAAGCAGAAGAAAAAATAAATCAAGACTCCACAAGCATTAAAATAAACTGTGTTGTTATTAACAGAGGGCTAATTGTAATGAAGACTTTACTGTAATAAAGATGAAATAAAGTTATTACCTTAAAGCAAAGGGTTTTGGAGAATTGAACTTACAAATAGATGTAATACCCCCAAATAGTTTAAACTCTGGATAATGTTGTGATGTGTGCTTTGTTCTGAATTTGTATTTTCTTTGGGCATTTGGAATTGAGACATAATTACATTATGTTTCCAGGATTTTTTTTTTACCATGATATTGAACATGTATGAATTATAGATTCTCCTAATGCCTGTAAGGTATGCAGCCAGGAATCATTTAACACCAAGAAAAGCTTAAAATTCTATTCTTTAAATTGATATTTAAGATTGTTTTAGGCAAAGGATAGTCTTATGTTGAATTTAATGCTATTAGCTGATTTCATTCCTTCCTAAAAATATGTTCCTAGGAGAGTATCATTTTTTTTCAAAGGTATTAATTCAGGATCTCACCTTTTTTCTTTAGCCATTTAGAAAAAAAAAAATCTTGTTCTAAGGCTGAATTAACTTTTAGGAATTCTTTGTCATTGCCATGCCTTGGGCAGTGATAAGTTATGTGCTCTTACCATTTGGCTTGATTTTTTACTTTGTAGACACCGTTGAGATTATAGGCACCATGTCTAGCTGTCTTAAGAGAGTTTTTATACCATCTCTTGCAGCAGGAAGGACAGAAGAGGGGTTTTACAAAAGGAAATAAGTCCCAAGAAATTGGTGAAAACAAATTGTATTTGCCTTTGTACCTTACCAGAGTTTTCTGTCTGTAGCATTTTCCAAACTTCACTGAGACATTGGGGGGCATGGCTGTGAAATTTCTAACTCACTACCTTATGAAGCCAGTGGATTGCTTGTTACTGTATATCCTGTTTTATAAATCTAGTTGACAATAAGTCTGTCTCCTGGAACACAGAAGGGAACTTGTACTACACTGAATTTTCAAGGGACGTAGAGAAACAACATGGAATTAACAGCTATGGCTCCAACAGACGGCTGTGTGAGTGACTTAAAGTAGTTAAAAACAAAACAAAAACTCAGTGTAAGACTAGCCAAATTGCATATTTAGGAATACTAAAGTATTAGAAAAATGTTAGGGAAGAAATGAACTTTATACAATTGCCTTGGGAAAAAATAGATCTACTTAGTCCTACAAATCAGGAATGGTGTAGAGACATCCAAATCAAACAAAACAAAACAGAATGTTTAAAAATGTATGCAGATTTCTGGATATTATCAATGAGAAGACTTAGCATGTTACTTCTCCTCTAGCTCTACCGTCCAGCATGTATTGTTCCAAATACTCCCTAAAATATATACACTTTGCAGAAGCTCTAGGCCCTCACTTCAATGACCTTGTTGGTGGTTGCTGTATTCTTTCAAAGTCAGTGTAGTTTCCCTCACTCTACACAATCATTATTCTTCAGTAGTGGTCCATGTCCTTCACCAAGTATTCTGCTTATGTTATCAGGAGGTTAGCAGAAAATGAATTGGAGGGATTTCTCTAATCGGTGATAAAGAAGAAAAGCTATGCATCTAGGCAAGGATTTTTAACACACATTTGCAAGAGATACTTGTTTAACCAAAATATTTGGAAAGTGATGAATAAAGACATTTAAATTAAAGAGAAAAAAAGGAATGTTACTCTTCTAGGCAAAGAAAACCCTGATAAAAAGAAATACAGAAATCCAAATCTGGTGGTATTTCTCCTTGTCACTTGATTCAACTTGATTATCAACGCACCTGTCACTTCCAGGACCAAACAAATCCCAGGCACAAAGCCTTATTTCCCTTGAAAAAATAAAAAAGAGGCTTCTACAAAATGGGTCATAGGCTCATTTAGCATAAAATGACTTGAGCTTTCTGATGATACACAGATAAACACACACCACAAGCTCGTGAGTGACACAACTGACAGTTTCACAAAATGTTATCCATTACACTGATGATTTCATGACAGAACATATTTAATAGAGTTAACTATTATGAAAAATATGATAGCGATGAATCCCCAACAAAATTCTTCCCTCTATTTTCAATGGCTGTTCATCCTTTAGCATTTAGACCACATTTGTCCCCATCTTGGTAGAAGTGAAGAAACAATTCTAACTACCTAATTTGTCTATTGTTTTTAATCCATAGCATTTAAGCAAATGTTCACCATAGTAAGATGTTTTGGAAATTAGCTTTGTTTAAGTTAGAATTAATTTCAGAGAATAATTAGAAACCTGATACTCTTTTACATGTGAGCCTGACAGAAACTATGGTTTAAGCATAGGGTGAACATTCGCTTAACTGCTCCTTGCTTTTTAAGTACATAAAACCTTTAATAGAAGAAGTCAGTATTCACCATCTAGGTTCTGAAAACATTACCAAATATACACATGTAAGTATCCTATTTCCTCAAAGAATCTGAGTCAGTTTAAATACTTTGTTTTTCCAGCTTATTCCAAGTAAAATAATTCCTTGATTTTCATCATTCCAACTTCTGGGTCTCAACTCATTCATCACTTTTCTTCTATAAGTAAAGTGTGCTTTTTTTAATGCATTGGGATAGTCTCAGGAAAAATGTGACTTTTAGTAAAGCTTTGTAATTGACTGTGTACATATAAGGTTAAGTATGTTTATTCTATGAGTCCTTATTGTAACATGTTTCAGAATCAATGGGCTTAAGAATGAAAACAAAACTTTTGAGGCTCTCACAAAGTAGTTTTTTGGTCACTATACCTTACTTGATGTTTAAGCTAGAAGCTTGAGGTATAGAAACAAAATGGTGAAGTTCCATTTGCTAATTTCTGTGCTTCGAGTAACTGGAGGACAGCAAGCTAACCTATTGATCATAGTAATAGTTTAGGTTTTGAATTTTGCATATGAATTTCCTAGCACATCTTTAGCCATTAAGGACTGACACAATAAAGAGACATGGATTTGATGCAAATCATGATGCTTTACGGGCCTCATTCTAATCCAGATAGCTTGTTAGGATTCTTCTATTTAAGAAAATGGCAATGCTATCACGAGGTATTATGTGTAGATTGGTGGTCCTGTGGTGCCACTAGCAAGAGAAAAGAGTATTAAGACAAAAGTAAAGGATGAAGAATGGCTTATTGTGTATTGAAAAGTTTGGAGGTCCTGATTTGGGACCACTAATCCCCTGGTGAAGAAGCATAACTACATTAACAGTAATTTTTTTTAAACATGGACCCAGAAATAGCAAATCTGCTCTTCCACCTTCATGGCTTTGTCAACAAGGCCATGCTCTGCGAAGGTTTTCCACGGTGTTGCTTAATTTCATCTACACAAGGTGAAACACGTTCAAACATAAAAAATCCCCCTGCTCATTTTAATATCATAAAACGGCTGAGATTATTTCTCTGTCATGGAATTGTAAATAGCATTTTTTAAATCAGAATCACATTTAAAACAGTGGATTGTTCTACAAATATATACGTGTATATATACATATGCTTCTGAAATAAGGATATATAGAGTTTTTATTTGATTTGTGGTCTTTAGTCCTAGGTAATCAAAAATAAAGAGATTTGAATGCAAAACTTTATATATAAATGTATATTTCTAATGATAGTATAAATTGTCACTTTATAATAAAAAGAGAAACAGGTGGGAACAGTCATCAAAGCACATGCTCCTTCAGAATGTCAGTGATTCTGAATCCCCTCTTATGCAGAGGTAGTAATTTTTTATTTCTAAAGAGTTATCTGAAAAAGCTGTACTTCCACAAATTCTATTATGTCATGTCAGACTGAAGTATATAACTGAAGGCAAGGAAAAAAAAATCCTAAATGCAGATTTTTATTTTTCAGAATTTTTCCTGGAGTCCAAGTTAAAAATTCAATATTTAAAATCTAAATTAAGTGAAAATAGTTAGTATCCAGAGATGATATATTGAGCTTCAGTAACAAACGGAAGTAAACATACATTTAACACTACGATAATAACATTAAAATAATGTCATAATAGAAATTGCATCATTAGGTCTTTTATTAGTTGGAAAGAATGAGTTGATGTTTCTTTGTCTTTGCTCCAAGCACAACCTAAAGACAGTGGCATTAATTTCACTTAAAGTTGTTCAAAAATCCAAAATATACTCCCATGACTAGAACTGGTTTTAGCTCCATTACTAGGTTAAATGTTCCAGTCTTAAGAAATTATTGAGACCGAAATGTTTAATAAACACGCTGTATGAGAAATTGAACAAATTAATGTTTCGTTTTTACATTAAAGCACAGATTATTCAAATCATTGTTTTTTGAAATCAAATTTGTAAAATGTTTATACATCACAACCTTCCTGAAGTAAAAAATCAATTAAAATCTTGAGATGCTCATGCATGCAGACAAAATACTTGCACCTTC